GTCAAGATTTTTTTTTTTTTAAATGATGTAGCTACAATGATGTGTTGTGGAGCAAGGATGCTGTCGATATACTGATATGAGAAACAGCTCCATGTAAAATTATGTTGTCTTTACTTTGATATAGACCTATTTGTTTTGCTTTGTTTGGGCGACATGGTGTATGGCTGAGTAGATAGCACTCTCGCTTCTCCTGGGTTTGAATCCCGGTCTGAACAGAGCCTTTCTGGGTGGAGTTTTCATGTTCTCCCTGTGTCTGTGTAGGTTTCCTCCACGTGCTCCGGTGGGTATAGGAACAATAGCTATGAATGTATTGAGTGAGTGAATGGATGGTGTTGGTTGGGGGCTTTGATGCCCCAGTGTGTTTGGTGTCTCGCTTCATCACCATCATCACCGTGTGTGGAGTGAATGGAACAATATCTGAACTCTGAACATTGTAAAGCACTTTGGGTGACCTTGGTCTGTAAAAATGCGCTGTATAAATAAAGTACTTACGTTGTTGTGTGTGAGTAAAAGTAGGGTATGAATTGAAGATGTTTTTTTTTGCCATAGAGATCGATATACAGATAGATAGACACAGACTAGGAATAAAGTGCTCATATTTAATTCATACATATGTCCTCAGTCCTCATCCGTCTCCAGAGTCCACACTTGTCTCTCAAACACACAACTGTCCTCCATCCTTCCGTCTCTTTTATTGTATAATTTGACATATGGAAGTATAGGTAAGTCTGGGCGTCCGCTGCCCCTGCGACCTGACAGTGGATGAAGCGGAAGAAAATGCATGGATGGATTGATAAATGGATTCAAATGATCTCATGAACCATCTGTGAACTATAACTTTGTATGGAAGATTCAGAAATTGAAGATCATGATAGTGGGCATGTGGGGAAGGGTCATGCATGTCAAAATACATCCATCCATTTTTTTCCGCTTCATCCGTTGCCGGGTCGCGGGGGCAGCAGTCTAAGCAGAGACGCCCAGACTTCCCTATCCACACACACTTCCTCCAGCTCATCCGGATGTCAAAATACAAGTTAATTTATTGATATTTCACTTTTTTGGACACAAGAAGAATGCCTTGTATAATGCAGCCACAGAAGCGATGCCTTTAGTTCCTCCCGCCACCTTTCATTCACACAACACGTTTAAATATTGCCTAGGGACACAATTTTATTTATTTATTATTCAGGAAGCTCATTAGATTAATCATTTTTTCAAGGGAGAGGCACCTTGGCATCAACAGCAGTACAGTGGCATGTGACATTCCTTGAAATTTGTCAAAGAGCGACGCTTCTGAACTGCATCTTAAAATCTACCTGTTTATCATGTTTACCATATCATAATCAATGTCGCTTAGAGCTGCTACTTACATCCTCATTTAAGTTGAGTGCGAACGCTTAACAATTTAGCATTGCACAATATTTCATGATTATTGCATTAACACCGCACAGATACGTGAAAAGAAAGTGTTCCTGTCACAAACATAAGTGAAATAGTGATGTAAAATGAGTGAGTGTCTCTTGTAAAAATGAGGTTAAGAAGGGAAACCTGTGACATCATCTGCAAACTAAAATGTTCTTATTAAACATTAAGGCTGTGTTTCTACAACAGGGAAAACACAAACAAAAGTACAATGGCAAATGAAAGAAAGAAAAAAGCGCAATTGAAACAACTCAAAAGATTGTCAAGCCACCGTTTAAAGCTGCAGTGATTTTGGAGTGGAGGACGTAGAAAGACATCAGGTGAAACAAAATGCCGGTCTGAATCTAGGACACGACTTTCCCACCGGAGCCCACTGTGGAAGGATCATTCTCTCACAAACTCTCCACTGTACGGACTCAGAAGTGAGGAGACAGCTGAGGGGCGGCCCACTTCAAACTATACACCTATTGGGCTTTGGGGCAGAAGGGAACTTAGTGACTGTATAGAAGTAGCAGTTGAAGCAGTTGTGGTGGTAGTAGTAGTAGTAGGAGTAGTTAAGGTAAAGCTGAGGCAGGCACTTCAAAACCGAATACTGAAAAGGATCACTGGTACTCACACCAGCGCTCACGTTACATCTGAAAAGCTGAGACTAAAATGGACTCAAGAATACAAAAAATCATTCTTGACTGGAAACCAAAAGGAAAAAAAACAGAGGGCGGACAAAGGAAACACTGGATAAAACAAATCAAAGAAGACGCAAAAGCCCAACATATGTCATTTATCAACTTGGTAGATATGACGAAGGAAAACTGGACCACATTTCTTGAAGCACTGTAGGCAAATTTTTTTAGCAGGTGAGGCCACTTTTGAAGAGGCCAAGTCCTGCAGTACCCGGGCCTCTCCCACGGGTCGCTTCCCTCCTTCTGGGTCACGTCCCCAGGACTTGACCCACCTGTAAGTCCACCCGCTCAGGTAAGTGAGGCGGGATTCTCTGGCAACAAGACCAGGCCAGAGTCAGCCGTGAGGCATAGCTTTTTTTCTTACTCGATAACTCAGGGCTAGGACATAAAAATAAAAATAGTATGTGCAGTGGCAGTAGTAGTAGTAGTAGAAGTAGCAGTAGTAAGGCAAGGCAAAAAAAGTTTAGCACAATAAATACACAAGGCAACTCAAAGTGCTGAACAAAACAAGATGTCACACAAGGCATTAAAATGTATGATTATAAGGAGTAAATGATTTAGAGTAGTGGAGTAGTCGTGATAGTAGGAGTAATAGTAGTAAGTTAGTAGTAGTAGTATTTTTCAGTCTCTTCATTCAGACTACAGTCAACAAAACATAAAAAAACCATATATAAAGCAGCATCAGCAGTAGTCACAGTGGGAGAGTGGTTAGAATTCTTACTTCTTGGGTTCTGAGTGTAGTTTGTGTGATGGCCCCATGTCTTTGGAGGTTTTCTCTGGGTGCTACGGTTTCCTACCACTTATTTAGAGCAACTATTCTGAAATTATGTGGCAATTGTTCTCCAAGCCAAGCCCATCCCTCAGGGCACATCAAAGTTCATCTGTTCTTTTCTTTTCTAAATGGCTTTGTTGCAGTGTCCTTGTGAAGTGCAGTGAGGTAAAGCCCTGTATGAAATGTGCAAAATAACTGAAAATATATTATACTTTTTCAAGTAGTGTGAGCAGTAATTAATGGTGCTATTTTTTAATATAATTCACTACCCTTTCATCATTTTCAATTTGAACAGTTAATTTGCTAAAACAGTTTGAAAATCTGTCAAAAAGTTCTATTCCTCTTGCTACAATCTTCCACTTGTTTTGTTATTGGTAGTAAATTAAAAAGAATTTGCTAAAAAAGGATGAAACTTTTCTGTATGGCACTAGAATACATCATGCTTTTTACAAAACAAATTGGTAAAGAGCAAATTGAAAGCCTTCTCTATGTGTTATCTAATGGCACTGCTTTTGCAAATTAACTCTTCATATATTCTATTCTACAGTATTCTAAATTTCATCTCAATGACGACACAATCTATAGGCTGAAAACAGAATTTTAGCAATAATTAAACTGTCGTGTAACTCATCTCGGAACAATGTAAAAAGCATATTCTGCAATTACTCGTCAGTGTTTAACAAGACACGTACGTAATGGCAAAAACAGGTTTGGGTGTGATTGATGGCATGGTGTGTGTTTGGCTGTGCTCCTGACAGGATGACGGATTGAGGAGAAGAGCCCTGGGGCAGAGAGGCGCTTCTATCTCCTACTTCCTACATTCAAACACAATCGCTCTGAATAGAAGAGAGGACTCACATGTAGGAACGCACACATATGTCATTAGGCGTGTTAACAGCCACCTTTACACCGTAATTAGAGCAATTACAGAAAAGGAAGGCAGCGATCACCGACCCACGGCTCTGGGTTTCCGACATCCGGCCCTGGGGCTGAGTGTGGGGCAGCGACGGGACAAGGGGAAGCGTGCCCTGCGCATACACACACACAAACACACACACACACACACACACACACACACACACACACTTATAAGATAGAACAAGATGGACAATTACAACTATGCCATACAATCAGTCAGTCAATCAACTTTTATTTGAAGATTGGCTTTTCTTACACAAGGCAACACAAAGAGCCTCACAACCCACATCACATCAGGCAAAAATCACATTAAAATCTATAGACATTAACATATATGAATAAAATCCCCCAAGATAATAAACACAAACATTTAGATCAGAAGAAACATTAACAACATTTAAAAAAAAATCACACAAGTAATTTAAAAACACTAAATCATCAATACACACATGCGATTAAAAATAAATATAAATATCCACAGTGCATTACAGTCCACAGTCAAGACAAAATTCTTATGCACAGCCAAACAGAACTGTTTTTAACCTGGATTTGAAAACTGCCAGACGCCTGTTTCACATACAACACTGATCCACCAACACTAAACTAAATAAATAAATACACAAAGACAGTGAAAACAACTGGAGGCACATTGCTATAGTTTGTACACAACAGTATGACGCACACATGTACAATGAGTAACTTTCTTCAGACAGTATTTAGAATGGCTCAGTAGATCGATGAACTGATATTTCCATCGACTTCAGCCTCAGCTCTGCCCTGGCTGTGTTTGCTGGTCCTGGCTCCTCTGGTTTCTCATTGTGAATTCATCTTAAATCCATTCCCACTCTTGTCGCTTGTCTCTGCTCTTCTCTTATCAAATGTCCCACAGGCGCCTCATACATTCCTCCACGTAAATTTCTCTTTACATGTTTGTAATACTTCATCACGAGCCTTTGTGCAGTGTCTTGGGTGGAAGGACATTTCTCTGGTCATTTTTTTTAATTAAAAGGATCATTTAGACTCGGGTAAGAAATACGGAAATTATTTACTATTTCCTTGGCGGCCTGATTTGAATGTTGGTCTGCAGACCTGAGTTTGGGGACCACTGCTATACACAATTCTATCTAATGTTTTTCTATTTTTTTCTGATTTAACGCTGAAATGTGCTAAAAATGCAACATCTCTTGAGTCGTCAAACCTGATGAGACATGTGCATGGGACATGTGAGAACAGCCAAAGAGGGAGCACTGGTCCTGATCCGCCTTGATGGCAGCTGTGGCCCACGCAGACTTCTCAGACACTGGGAGACCCAACCTATGAGCCACCTGTTCACCGCATCAACACAAACCAACACCTACGATACACACTGGGCTGCGGCTCCTGTGGCGGAGAGGGCCTCCATTTACACTTTGACAAATAAGGTAATTTTAAATACCTCGGCCCTCATGGCCATAGACCTTACCTCCAAAAGACTATTATGCCTATAATTGAAAATGTACAAATCATTTGACCAACTTTAGCAAAATGAAGAGTAAAAAACGTTTCGCTCAAAAGATGTAACACTGTTCTCCCACCGCCCCGAGGGAAGATATAGGTGGAATCCCAGCTGGAGGCGTGTGTCTTTTCTCCTGTGGGAATGCAACGGCTGTGTGAAAGAGGTTATAAATGATTCTAACCTATGGCACTAATTTAGAGTTTGCATGGGTCTTTTCATACAAGAATTTGAAAAAAAAAAATATATATATATATATATATATATATATATATATATATATATTCCTGTACCTTTTAGCTTGTTTTGTTTATGTACTTTTGGAAATGTATTCCAATATGGTTTTACTGCAAATGGCAAATGAAATGAATATGAATCTAAAATACTGTTCAGAGTATCGATCCCTGTCATTCTGGCTTTTTGCTGGGAGAACAGTGTGCTTTGTTGTAGCTTTAATAACCGGGAGCTTCATTCATAAAACGTCTTACTCAAAATGTAAACGTCCACAAACTCTGTTCTTTGTCATTTTCTTGGCACAAATCACATTCCGCTTCATCTGTTAGAGTACGTAAAAATCAACCAAATTTCTAGTCTCTAGTTTGAGAACTTGACTTAAAGTGTTATGTTTTAATTAACTTTAACTCAGTGTCGTATAGTCGTTTTTTCCTTTGTGGGGTTTGTGTCTTGTTTGTGACAAGATCAGACAGGATCATAAAGTTATTCTAATGCAGAACAAAGGCATCATAGGTGAGGCATCCCAAACTTCCGCTTGTCTGTTACTATCACTTTTATAGCCATAGTGACAGTTAAAAGGTAGATCCCAAATGAAGGCCACGTGCTCAGGCAACCACATATATATAAAATCAACACAATCACACCGCCAGCACAGGGCCATGTTGTGTATATTGTGCAACAGAGAGGTACTAGTTCTCAGGAAGTTTAAGATATTAAAAACAAGATGCCGATAAAATCACTTTTATTAGCCCAACTGCACATGTCTGTATATCTGCCAGGTCTTCCTCTGATGCCAGGACTTTGGCTTCTCATTGCAACAGTAAAAAATATGTGAACTCTGTAACCTTATGTGCAACTTCTACAAACATTATTAGAATAGGAAAAAGAATGTATTTCTTCGTACGCCAGTAGTGTTTGCCTCTCTCTCCCGTGTCTTATTTGGTCATATGCAGAACAACGGGAGAACTCAAAATGCAACAAAAAAACAAGATTTAATCAAGGAAAATATAAAAATCCAGCGATAAAAACACAGCAAACCATCAGCTAGAGGAGAGCAGCAGGTCTAATGCTGCTTTCAGACTGCCAGCACTGGAACGCTGAAGCCTCGCTCACTAGACGCACATTCTCTAGTTTTCAGACGCAGGGGTCTTCACACCAGAAGTCCTGGCCAGCGCTGGAAGTGGCGGAAGTAGCCGGCGGGTTCTAATGCTAACAGAGTTTAGCCAGCGGTATCTTGTGTAAAGTTCTTCTCCAATAATGCAGCTTTGCAGCGTGTCTGTGTTCAGAGACCTTCCACAGACTTTATATAACATATATGTGTTCACGGAGGTGCGCAATACGTTTATTTTATTATTAAACGGTACTTCCACATCGGCGAACACGCTCGAAGCAGTTGCATAAAGTCACGGGAGCATGACAACTCACATGTTAACAAGCACTGTGTCCCCCATTGTCAGCCCTGGTTTAGTCCTGGTGTAGCTCCTGTTTTGGCTGTTTACAGTATGTTCAGTCTGCTCGCCCAGACCACTAATGTCCCCGTGACCACTTTGCGGCTCTCTGATTGGTCGCTGCACGAGCGTCCCAAAGAAAGGTTCAGCAAAATTCATCTCCTGCGTGCGTCGATTTTTTCCGCTCTTGCCCCTCCCTTTTGACTTTCCCGCGCTGTCCGTGCATCTCTACTGAGCAGTCCGTGTGTGCATTCCGTGCATTTTGACGCTCAAACGTGCGTCACCATTGACTTTGCACTGAAAACCGACGCAACGCAAGATCCAGTCTGAACGCGGCAGGATTACACACAGGCGAAACACTTAAGAGTGGGGCAGGAAATCAATTAAAAAAACAGGAAGTAGATCTCAAAACCACAACCAGTCCATTTTGAAACATCAAAACAAGGTAAAAGTCTTCACTCTACTAAGCCTCTACTCCCACTACCACCCTCCCACTCAGCGCATGCTCATGGGCTGTTGTTACGGAGCTCGCGTCTCACAATATGGATCGCACATTTGAATGTGGATGACGTGACTATGGAATGAAAGAACCGGGAAGCGTGGAGGACGAGACTTTCTTTTGGCTGTTTCGCTGAGTATGCAGTAACCGGGAACAAAAACACAGGAAGTTTCAGGTTAGCCTACGCCACGATGCTTGTTTACCTCTTTTCTCAAGTAAGTGGGGGCCAGGGGTCAAATCTCTTCCGCGACAAATTATCTTCAGCATTGCAAAAAAACTCGATCTAAAATAAACTTACACTCTAGTACAAACCTGCGCTACCTATTCTTCAAAAAGATATATATTCCAATGCATTGCATGGATACAGATTGAATTTCCCTAATGAATACAAAAATACAGTGTGGTAGTCCAGCTTTAAGTCCCCTGAGATAACTACTGTTGTGGTTTAGGGCTATACAAAAATACATTTAATTGATAATATAAAAATAAATTGTTTATATCTGTCTCATACCGAATGCATTGTGACCCTATTTATGAAGCTAACAAACACACTCAGCCCACTGCTGTTTTCTCCCCATGTTTCACCAGCTGTGCACCTGTTTCTGATCCGTGCAACTCTAACTTAACTACAGAACAATGTGAAATTGTCGAGGAACTCCATGTAACATATTTCTGCCTCTGTCAATGAGTATACAAACATGTACTGTGCTTAATGCACGTTTTTCATTCTGGGCTCCCTTTCCCTGGCAATGCTGGTCTTTTTAAGTTAAGAGTGCTATACCACACAACGAATATTCAGGATTATATTTACCTATAATATTTTCCAAGAAAAGGTGCACATAATCATAGATAACAAGGCTGAGTTTAAAAACTGAATAATAGAACGACACACTATCCACTGTTTATGCAGAGCTCTTTCTCTGCCATAAAATTCTCAATGAGTGGTTGAAAATGAAGTCTCCGGGTCATTATCTAAACCTGATTTTGTAATAACAGGCTATTAGGCGAAGAAACAACATCAATTGAAAGAGGAATACCCCATCATTACATTAACTCCTCCTCTTTGTCAAACTCTGTGATTATCTGCAACATTGACTTTACAATGACACTTTACAGGGTTAAACTTTTTATATACACGAAACTGAAATAGCATCGTAGGAGTGGAGGACTTTGCTGCATATTGTCAAAACTCAACAGTATGAGAATTGGTCTTTTCATAAAGTGTTGTCAGTTGTTCTCATCTGCTACAAATCATTGGGAAGTATACAGGGAGCTATTGGGCAGGTAACCGGAGATCCTTTGAACTGGGCGAGGGCAGAGGGGGGGGGGGGGGGGGGGGTACACCGGAATAAAGAGGCCGTCCTGGGACAGAGTGTATCCGATGACAGGGGCTTCCTCTGTGGGAGATGACCTGCAGAAACCACTCCATTTGTTCCAGGAATAATGCTGTGTGGAGCTGGAGTATTTTGTCTTCTTGAGAGAAGCATAAGCTCAAGACACAACTGAGAAAGGGCTTTTGAGTGGAAGTCAAAATAGCTCAAGAGGGATGATTTTGAAAACATTTGTACTAATGGTGCAGACAAAAGGACGGTTATATTGGCTTAAAACAAGCATTCAATAGATGCTTTATAATAAGTTTGAGTTTGGGTTAGGGTTAGGGTTGGGGGGGTTAGGGTTAGGGTTAGGGTTAGGGATTTGACACTGAACAACAGCATTTGATAGCTAGAGACCATATACATACATGAAATACAGAAAACAATTTACAATTTGGTGCCTCATACCGGGTACAGAATCTGCCTCTCTCCCAGGCTTTAGCAACAAAAGAAGCAAAGGCAAAAGCTTAAGGGCAATACAGTACATCCAATTCATAATTTCTCCCTCAGGCCACCAAAAGACATCTGGATTAGAAGCATTTACTTTTTCATTTCTTAGTATTGAAATGTTGTGTGTATAGAACAGTATATGAACATGTAAGAAATATAACAAAAAAAGATTGGACTGACTGACTATGAGACAGAAGTGTGCTACTAGAAACGTGCACAAAGTATAAGACGTTAAAATCAGGTATAGGCCCTTTATTCCCCCGCGTCAGAACCCTACAGAGCTGGCCTTTAACTTTGCCTTGAGGCTGCTGCTTATCTCTCAGGAGGTGGAATAATTGAAAGCCCTTTGTGCAGACAGCGCACTGGAAAAGTTAAAGTTAGTGAACCTTTGCACTGTTAACAACTTCCCAGATGAGAATAATTTGAAGTAAATGTATTTTTCCTCCGTGTTCCTCAAATCAAACAAACTAAATGGAGAACTTCCTGCCCAACTGTTGATAAGAGACAGCACCACCTGTTCGGGCTGGAGAGAGGAAGACACACAAACATGCCACATGCTGAGGCTTGTCCCGGCTCCTCGGTGACTACGGGGCGCAGGAGCAGGACTCTGCCCAATGCTTCCTCACAAAATTGTGTTATTTTCTGTCTGTGCTATAGCTAATGATCATGTGAAAAGAACCGCGGTGTGCACGCATGTCTGCAGTCAACCTGGAACACTCAAAACAGTGGTTATGTCCATGTGTTGGTGGGAGTTAGAAGACCTGAAGAATGTCAATACTGAAAGGCAATAATAAATCAAACAAAATACAAGTGTTTTGATCAGACTTCGAGACATGATATCATCACAAAACAGAGGAGATTCCACGTCTACATGAAAGGCCTGTATGAGCTAATGCCATTACAGCATGTGTTGAGTAAAACCAAATCAGTAAAACTGTTTGGAAAAATCATTTCACCCCGTCATAAATGCAAGATGGTGAAACTAAATCTGCTGAGAAACTTTTAAAAGAATGGAGACAATATATACTACCTCCGGCTAAATATTATTCCGATTTCTGCTGGAATTTTCGTCAGGAATTTTGCATCATAGGTTACCGTTAATTTTTATTTTCAAGACATTATGATTCTACAACCTGCAGTCCCTTGAACATTAACTGAAGAATTTCCCTCTGAGTGACACTAAACAGCCGTGCAAAAAGTTATTGATGCGTGCCGTGCTTTCTTCCCTGCTGCTGTTTTGTCAACCGCACAGAACCAGATCGTAAACCTGCCAAACCTTTATAAACAGACCGTAACTTCTGCCAGTGTCAGGTGTGCAGATACGCTGCGAGCCTTCCGCCATCTCGCCCCTGTGTCAGTCCCCCTCTGGGTCTAATGACACAAGTCCATTAACCTCTGACACCCACTCGCACACGCACACGCACATACACACACACACACGTACACACACGCAGAGGGGCCCCGTGCACAGGATGTTATCAGTTTACAGAAAAAACATGAAGCAGAGGAGGGGAACGGTCTGCTGTCTGTCATCAGCACCAGACCCTCCAGACAAGGGCTCAAACTCAAGCTCTGGAGTCAAGTGTCGTATCAGTTTCTTATCACAACATTCAGCACCTCATTTTCACAGAAAATACTTCACCAAAATGCCAACAAATAAATGAAATGCACCAAATCCAATGAAAACTTGTTGCAGTAGTGATTAGGATTGGTACGAGGATTGTTTTCCTCTACCCTAGTAGTGAGAGAGGAATTGTGTTCACCGTTAGGTATTGTGTTGTGTTTTTAAGTCTTATTTTTGGTTAGTAACTTATCTAACCAAGAAAGGGTTATAGTTTTTGGGGGATTTGGGCGACATCATTTTTGGGAAACCTTTGCAATGTCCTGCTCCACCCAGCGGCTACACCACCTCTGCTGCTGTGACCTAAAGTACTGTGGACCTTTATCAATATTGTTTGTAACATTTAGAGATACACTACCGTTCAAAAGTTTGGGGTCACATTGAAATGTCCTTATTTTTGAAGGAAAAGCACTGTAGATAACTTTAAACTAGTCTTAACTGTAAAGAAGAAATACACTCTATACATTGCTTATGTGGTAAATGACTATTCTAGCTGCAAATGTCTGGTTTTTGGTGCAATGTTGTAATTGCTGCAAATGGAGGATTCTTTGACGAAAGCAAAGTTGGATGTAAAACAAATCTTATTTCAAATACAAATCATTATTTCTAACCTTTTTAATGTCTTGACTCTATTTTCTATTCATTTCACAACGTATGGTGGTGAATAAGTGTGACTTTTCATGAAAAACACTTGGGTGACCCCAAACTTTTGAACGGTAGTCTATATGTATTTATTTTTGTGTGTGGATGGATGCGTTTCTGCTGCTGGACACCTGCATTTATTCTGCAGGGATTGATGCAGTATCTATATATCTATCTAAATATCTATATATCAATGACACAATGAAGGATTTTACTTTGGCGGTGATACGATGCAGGGATTTGTATGGAATATTTTGCATCCAAATCTCTTCAGCCAGTATATAAGAGGAGGGGCAACAGCAGTATAGAGTATATAGAGACAGCTAAACCCATAAGCACTTGTCAATGTGGGACAGTTGGGTGATGTCCTCAATAAAAAATAAAAAAAACATTAGGCAGCTTTGTCACACAGGAGGAGCTCTGAATAGAGCCAGGGACGCTTACCTGGGATGGTGTGTCGGGCATGTCCAACCAGGAATAGAAACCAGGAAAGAAAATGGAACAAACATTTGAAGCAGATCTGTAACAACATCTCAGGTGCAAAGGCAAATATGTAGGATAATAACGGATAATAGAAAGTTACTGCTTATAACAATTAAACATTTAGATAATGAATTTCTATTTTGGACCTTCTGCCTTCTTCAGAATACTAGTTATCATGATTTTACAGTAACATTACAAATGTAGACTTTAGCAGATCATTTTACCAGCAATAATTAACCATGAATGACCAGGTTTAAGAGGCCATGAGTGAAGTTGTGATCCCCTTCCACTTCCCTGACTCTGTGGGTAATACTTACAGCATATTAAGGCGTTTTCCACTCTTGGCACCCCATGGTCCGCCCCTGGATGAACGAGGCATTTAAGTGCCCTTTAAACCTGATGTCATGCTGCTGAACTCTGATTCGTCCAGAGGGAAATCACTGGGATCAAAGGATGCAAAAATGTGTGAAAAAATCTGCCTTGATGTTATAAAAAGTGTTTACTCTTCGGATCTGGAACGTTTTCATAGGTAAACACTGATAATGTTGATTCGGACCCAGGCACCTATTACTTAGAGGCTATACACATACACATATCAGTTAGCTTTGGGGAACTTGTGAGGGATTATCAACATCAAAGTCAATAGAAATGTCAGCCCGGCTATCTTTGGAAATGCCAGCAACCCTTTGCATATCACAGCCCCAATAGCACGCGGCCCCACCTGCCCCCAGCAGAGGAGGTGATTAGAACGGCTGTGGTGAGTGTGGCTTTTGATCTGAAACGCACTGGAAAGCACTTTAAGCTCATATCGTGGAATGAGGCAGATGACATCACAGCCAATCAGGGAGTCCCGCTGCACCCATGGGCCCCTCTCCACTCCAACGTGATCAGCTGCTAGATTAACAGGATTAAGCAAATAGGACCAGCTCAGGTCGACACACCATCTGAATATATGAGTAATATCCAGGAGTTTTGAGGTCATTTAAAGATGCGGTGTGATCAGGATGAGTGCATGCTACTCTTAGTTTAGTCTGTGTGTGACATTCCTGAAATTATGGGTATCAATCATTAAAGGCTCACAAAATAATTTCAAAAAGGTTTTATGATTATGCATTTTATTGAGTATATAAAACACATTAATTACAAAACATTATAATATGTAGCACACTTCTCTATTCACAGACTATTCTGCGTTGCTTCCAAACCGGTCTGACCACTTTGTTCCCAGTCTTCATCCAATCACATCCACTTTATTTATGAAGTGCTAAACAGACACAAAATATAAGTAAAATAAGAAAAAAAAAACATTTGTATAAAAGATTTGCAATATATGTAAGGCATTTTTTTTATTTTTCACAAGTGCTGACTCTCACTTTTGGAAATATCTTAAAATAGCACAATAAACTGTCAACCCAGTGTATTAAGGTCTGCAAAATAAGATACTTGCAAGCTTCTTTTGTCATCCATCTATCATTATGACTTTAGCTGTAGTTTGTTCATTGCTATTCACCCGCTGTCCCATTGTCTGTTTCATGGCATAATGATGGGACTCTTAGTAAGTAAGTAATGTTTATTTATATACCGCCTTTCACAGACCAGAGTCACAAAGCGGTTTACAATTGTTATTTTTTGGGCATTTGTCTCTCACTCCACACAGATGGGAGCGGGGTCGCCAGTACAGGAGGCGCATGCCAGACCTATTATACATGTTTTTAGTGGTAGGGGAAACCGGAGCACCCGGAGGAAACCTACGCAGACACGGGGAGAACATGCAAACTCCACTCAGAAAGGCCCTGTTCCGACCGGGATTCGAACCCAGGACCTTCTTGCTGAGAAGCGAGAGTGCTATCCACTCAGCCACCGTGCCGCCCAGCCGCTCTTGAACCCGGCCTCCCCCTTCGGTGCTAGGGAGAACAGCTCCCAGGCCCGACTTGTGCTTAAGAGCTGCCTCAGTCATGCATCATAAGGCCTTGGTCCTCGTTCTACAGACTGAGTCCTACACCGTGTGGTCTTGGTCCTCGCTCTGTAGTCCTGGATCGGTAGGCCGTCCATCCGTGGGTGCGGTACCCTCTCTCAATGTGGGCCTCCCCGAGGTGTTTCACTTATTTATAACCTTTAAAATATAATATGATCAGAACCTCGTCACACGTCTTCTACATGTCTAAATATGCAGCAGCAGAAAATTCATGTGAACATGTATTTATAGTTTCAATGCCATCTTTAGTCTATCCAGATTGTCTGTGTTCTGAACTGGACAAATATCCTGCGCACAGCCCAACTTTGTATTATTTATTCAAATAACCATACAATCCTGTCAAATGATGATTTGTATTTATATTTATATTCATAAACTGTAAACCAAAGATAGCTATCCTTATGTTTGTTCATGTTAAGGCCCATTAAAACCAGTGATGGATGAAACTGCTATTTTGGCTCTGCGTTTTTACTTTGTCCTCATTTCCGACCCATTGAGAGGAGTTCCAATGACCCTTGAGCCCACCTCACTCATCTACGTCCCCTGTAGTGGAAACATTAGCCTGTTCCGGGACCTCCTGCCCTCTCCCTCTCCCCCAGACCGGGACGGAGCCGAGCTGGTCCTGCCTCAGGGAACTCCTTCTTCTCAATGGAAACCAAAGCTCCTTTAAAGAAAGCTCATTAAAAAGCTGACACTAAACACACACAAACAGAATGAACTGGAGGGAAAAAATTAAAGGTTTTTTTTTCCCTCTATTTTTAAGTCTAAGCAATAAAAAAGATAAACAAAATATAGGTGAAGCATAGGTGAATATATTTTCTGAGTACTCAATTACCCAATCATTTATGAAGTCAAGCTCCCTTTAGCATATCTGTTCTATTCATGTCTTTGCCTGTATGTTTGTCTACCTGTGACAACTCGGCGGAGCTGTGAGCGGTCAAAAAGCTGTACCGAATGAAACTTCCTACAATTCTATGTGTGCCAAAAAAGCAACAGATTTTAATTAAAAACCCCTTGCTTAAGTTTTGCAGCAGATGAAAAAAATACAGAAAAAATTAAATTGAAGCCAGGAAATGAGGGAAACCAAATCCTGCCGGCACAGTCTGCAGTCAAAGCCGCTTTGCTCTGTGAAAAGGCGGCGGCCAAGTTCTTCTGATAATTAACACTATAGTCATTCTAATGCTGTGGCTATGTTAGGTTCATTTATAGTCAAACACATTATACATTTTTTAACTGGCCATGTGTTTTCTATAAGTTCACAGCAGGCAGGCCAAGCAGCTCGTGTCTCTCAACATTGCAACCACAATATGCCACAATAAATATATAATGGTTCTTGTATACTCGAGCAGGGTGGTTGCAAAGTCAAAAAGTGAAAATTGAAACGCATGGGTCCAAGAGGTTGGATAATTCCCCTTCCTCAGCATCCAAGATTTTTGAAGGATGAAGTGCTGGCTTGTTCAACCAAATCCTCACGCTGTTGACGGCTGCCTCCCACGACTCAGCTCTCAAAAAGACCACCTCATGTTTTTGGCTCATCTTCCAACTCTTGCTGGCTCTAGATTGAGATTGAAATGTCAAAATATCCAGGTCTGAGCCATATAATGCTGGTTGTTGTGTCTTGCCTGAAATATTGCCCGGTATGACTTTATGACTATCTTGTATGCTACCTCACACACACCAAAACATGCCGCAGCATTGCCTCTGCATATCTGACGTTGGTTTGATGGTATAGCTCTGAGTTTTCCAGTTGAATGACATACGTACACATAAGCCAAGCATTAACTCACTGACTGCCAGGCATTTTCAGATTTGAGAAGTGCGTTCTGCCAGCGTTTTCAGGTGATTTGACCCAACTTTGAAGTGCCACAGAATATTCATTTTCTGGCGCACATTCAGAAGGTGCGCCAGACATTACTATAGCCTCCTGTGTAATAACGTGATAAACCTGTCATGGGCTGTGGGCGTTACTATAAAATAGAATGAGTTTTGTTGTCATGGGCAGCCAATGACTTAAAAGTCCTGAATTTAATGAAACACCTACATTGGTTCATGGTCATTTACTACTCCATTACACCCCTGCACTATAACGTTCTTATTCATATTGGAATTTTCTGTTATGTAAAGGTCCTTTTTGGCACTTCATATTTTTGTCTCCTAATGAAAATTGGGTTTTTGTTTAAATGGAGGAGATAGGTATAGGTCATTGCTTACAGGTATGTACACATAACAGACATTGTGTGTATTTAAAAAATGGACAAGAAAATAGGCCAAGGTCTTGTTTATTGACTTTTCAGCCTAATTCTACGGTCTGTTTATCTATCGCATTAGCTTGTGTGTTTATGTCAAGACAGTCTTTCAGCACATATTATCCTCAGATAAATTTCAGCTAAATGACATTGGAATATTTGACGTTCAATGATTCAATAACAGAATTATGGAGGCCTCTATGCACAGCGTATTAAATGTCAGTGTATGAGTAGAGTGGTGTTGTGGCAGTGGCCAGTGATTGTCAGGTCACAGATCAGGTGAATGAGTTTCCTGTGATTGTGATTCTAACAGATTGTAAGTGTAACAGTAGATTCCTCCAGGCGCCACTCTAAACAAACATGACACAATCCTCTCAGTCCAGCAAACAGAGTCATACAGGATACACTCGAGCAAACAGGATGGACCATTGACAGCTTACGACATGACTGCAACTGAACAAAGAGCTGGAAGCCTTAAAGCTGATGACAAATGTTCGCCACGTCCATACTTCTTCTTGAAACAAATCGTATACTCTTACTTTAAAATCAGACTGTGTAATAGAAAAAAAATGGAACGCTTGCTCCTTTGAGGTCAAGCTCTTCTCTCTCCGCTTTTCATCTGTTAATTAAACCGAGACAGTGAATTCTGACTTTGACCTCGCCTTCATCAGCCGTTACAAAAGTGATTGACAGCAGCTTATACAGTGCACGCATATAACAATAATGAAATATTTAGTATTTACATGGGAATCATAGATAATTACACATGTGAAACTATCCCGCCGCCCTGGCACATAGATAGGGGTAACTAAAACTGTTGGCTTATTATCTAATTATGATCATTAGAGTGTTATTTTTCTTGGAAGCAGGACAGAGGCAAACACAATGAACTGTTGACAGATGTAGGCTATTGCAAAACTGTAGCAGACCAGTGAAAAACGACATAGTGTATGTTACAGAACAAGTCCTTTGTGTTTTATCTTTGCCCCCGCCACCACCAGCTGATGCTCTGCACATGCGTGGTCTGGGCCCAGATCAGGCCAGGACCTCTGTCTGACCAGTGGATCCAGCCTCTGCAGTTCACTTTGTTATAGACATGTTTTCTATATTGTGCTTAGGAGAAGGTCTCTGTTGGCACATTTCTATTACTCTTTTTTCTTTTGTTGAATAAACTTTAGTTACTTTTTGGACCACTGCAGGATTACTATTGCAACAACACATCATCAGTAGGGTAAAACTAACCTCACGACGGTATAAGCCCAGCTCACGTTCCCTATTAGTGAGTGAACCATCCAACGCTCGGTGAATTCTGCTTCACAATGATAGGAAGAACCGACATCGAAGGATCAAAAAGCGACGTCGCTATGACTGCTTTCTGTCTCTGTTCTCCGCCCAATGTATCACAGTTTTGAGTCCTAGACACCACCACCACCTATGGCTCATAACAGTATACATGAAAAATACTAATGTTTAATGTAACCTTTATTTAACCAGGTAAACACCCATTGACACCTAATTTCTAAAGTGTGTACATTTTTAAATGTATTTGTCCTATTTATTTAAATGTCTACAAACACACATCAAAAAACATTTACCACAGTTAGTTTCCATTCTAATGCTGTGTTGAATTCCATTCAATATCACTTGCAAACATCTTTATTTGAAACCCTTGTAAAG